TYYTWAAWWAMMRSCMRAAAAAAAMSAAYTTGYATTTTAAAAAACTGTACGTGTGCCKTTAGTAAATGGCAATAAATCAGGATGCAATTGTACATATGGTACAACTCGAAATACTGGAAAGGAAAATASATTGCCTCAAATAAAAGTRAGGAAGAGTCCATCAAACCACAGCTGATCATCAAAAGACAGAAGTTTTGCCTTTCCACAAAGGAAAGACTTAAGAAGGACTGCAAAAAAATAATCCTTCCTACTGGGAAAATGACTTGCTCTTTAAACACACACCACTCAGAGGCTAAAGGCTCAATAACAGTCTTGATGTTGTGGCAACACATTTGGAAATATTCCAGAAGCACACAGGAACTCAAAGATTTCAAAATCCTCACTTCTGAAGTCTTCAAATGTATTGCAAAATATCTGYACAAGCCTAAATTGTCTTGAAAAACCTTTATTTGAGAACATGCACATTACCTATGTGAAGATAGAAAAAAAAGATAAATGAAGGTAACAAAACGTACCACTGTAATTGGGTAGAGAGGATTCTGAATTGACAACAGGAGAACTTTATTCCCACCAGATGGGTCATCAGTGTTCCCTGGCCGAGTGATCCTCTTGCTTGTGGAGTAGTTGAAGAAGGCCTGCTGCCCAGCAATGTACACAGGTTCATCTGCTGCAAAGGTCACACATTTCTTTGCACTCTCCACGTTTTCAAACTCCACCAGAGCCTGGCGCTTGAACGGCATCATCATGACATAGCTGGGGAGRGAAACATCACTGTAAGGTTTCCTGCTCACTCCAAACAACTCCCATAATGCTCATTTGTGACATGTCTTCTTTTCCCAAACAGTTCTTAGCAAAGACATACCATATGGTTCCAAATTTCTCAAGAGCTTCCACGAGATCTGCTTCCACCACAGACTCACAGAGCCCTCGGACATGGACGACAGGAGAGACAGAGACTTTGTGATGACTTCCCCCAGCATCCTAGCAAACAGAACAACATTTTAAAATTCAACACAGAGCAAGGAAAACTGCTATCAGCAGCTGAAATTAAATATTTGGTAGACAGTACACTGGGTCCAGAAGCAGCCATCTAACTGCACAATCTAAGCATGTGTTAAATAATTTAACTTTTCTTTCCAAACAGATTGCTAAGTTCAGTTGTTGAAGTCTACTTAAAATAAAAAGCTTTTCAGATTTAATTAATCTGTTTGCGCACACAAGATTCTTCTTGCAGMCTATTTAACACTGGTTGAATTGCAGGAGGTCTTACACATACCCTATTCATTAAGTGCATAAAAAAATAATTAGGACATGTACAATAGCTAAAACATTTCTGACACTCTGCTTGTTGATGCCAGTATTTTTTTGAGAAAGGCTGGGAGAATAAATAAGCAARAATAAATGAGGGCCATCCCTAAACTGAACAAAAATTGAGTATTTTTCTAATGCATGTAGAGCTGTGCTCCACAATGCAAAAAAAAAATGCCACCTCTGGATTATGGCTGAAATAAACCCAACCTCCCTTCTAACTCTGAACACTCTTCATACATATTTTTAAAAACTCACAATTTCTGCACATATGGAGTTCTTTTCACCCCAAGGCTGACTACTATTAATGGACCCAGACATAGTACATTAGCACACAGAATTCCCACCATGAATATTTTTTAGATCCACTTTCAATATTAGTTCTGTGCAAATGAAAAATTTGGGTTGAAATTAGCTCATCTTTCATGAAAACCCTGAGATAAGGCTATAATTTACCTCATATATTCTAGGACATGGAGGGTTAAAAGAAAAAAAAAAGTCAATAATGAGAGATGATCAAAAAAGATTAGAGATAATAAAGGGCACACTAAAATRTACTGCAAATCCCCAGTACCCAAATTTCATATTTGTAACAGCAGTGTAAAGGTGATGTATTCAAATTTAGTGACTACATCAATATGTTCCATCTAGCAGATCAAGTCTTGCTGATTTTTCACTTTTTCATAAACAGTAGCACAGCATCTTCTGGAACTTGAGAGAGATTCTCATTTGCAGCACAAAGGAGCATTATGCTCCAGTAATTAAGTAAGCACAATGGTTGCTACTAATGTTAGACATTCCTCTCTTCCCTGTCCATTTCAACTACAGATTCCAGGAAAAAACACATTGCAGGTGACTACAAATTGAGTCCTGTGTGTTTTACTGCTGTGTTCCATATGCAGTTCTCACTAAACAATCACATGGGCTTTTTTATTTAAATCAAGGATTTGACCGTTCTGTTTGAATCAAAAGCCAGCACTTCAGGCYTCCTCAGATGTCAGAACAATCTGCTGGATAATATTTTAGGCTTAGCTTACATTTTATTTGTTTGCTGTATGAAAGCATTCTAAGAGGCAACACATTTCTTTGAATAAGAACTGTGACAATGCTGGGAAAACACCACTGCTGATATTTGCATAAGTTACCTTGTATCCTGAATCAGTCAGCTCAGGTCTACGACAGGAGCAGTGATCAAAGTAATCATGAAAGGTTAATACTTTGAACTGCAAATGCTTAGGCAATTGCAGAAGGAACAGAACTACAGAGAGATTTTATTTTCAGCTTATATATTCTTAACCCACATACACACTTTTCAAAGCTGCAAGAAGCACCTGARGAAATCTTCAAAAGAAAACTAACAATAACTACCACTTTTTCCTGCAAAGCCTACTGCTCTAAGATGTTGAGATAACAGGCACCTTTATTTACAGTCTACAGAACAATCCAAAACGATTACATCAATTATTCATTGCCCTGCATACTTGCTACTATATTAAGATCCCRGTCAGGGCTAGGGGGATGCATTTCCTTTTAGCTTTCTTTCATACACTYGAGAAATCCCATCTAATAATATTTCTGTCTAATCAGATGGCAAATACAAGCAAAGATTTGCTCATTGAAGCAGACTCGCCACAAGGAGCCCAGCTACAAGAAACTTAGTACTTGCTACTCACTACCTTACTGAACTAATACCTCCTCAAATCACATCAAGCTTTTCAGAGACTGGATCATAACACAACAGTATTTTGTTCTCCCTCCCCTTCCCAACTCAAATTTGTGTTATAGTTTCAGTTCATGTTTCTTTGTCATGCATGTCCCTTTGTATTTTTATCTATTTAGCTGGTATTAGTAGACACAGATCTKTCCAACAGTACAAACATTCTCAAAAAATAGACTTTTTATACCTGCAATTCAAATCCATTATACATGAGTTAAATGAACATACACAGGYGTCTGCACTTCTGCAACTGGAATTATTCTTAGAACAATAAACAAATACAAATTTTGCTTTCTTTTGTTRTTAAAGCAGTGTTTGGCTTTCCAATCCTAATTTCCTTCTCCCATAACATCATACAGAAAGCCTTCTTTTAGCTATTTTAGCCAGATTTAGCAATAATCAAAAACCTGCAGAGAAGCTTAAGAAGCATGAAATAAAAAAAAAAAAAAACCTAAAAACCCACCAAAACAAACAACAAAAAAACCAACTTACCCACTCGAAAAAAATCCCAAACACAAACCAGTGAAATCTTAGATACCTGCCATGAACTTAAAGACTTAACTACAGAGAATTTCAGAACCTCTTTTATACAGATAAAACCACTGGGGTGGCCAATTCAGAGAGTCTCTGCTTTAGTCCAAATAGTTTCTAGCCAGCAGCTGTGAACAGCAGCACAAGAACTGAGCCTAAATCAGACCCAAGGAAGCCTCAAACTGATATTCACAGAGTATATGGGCTGGAGAAAGATGGGGACACGTGCCACAGGCACATGTTTGGGTGCAAAAAACCTCTTCACAAAGGGCAGGCATACATAGTATTGTCAAACAAGTTTTGCAGCTACAGAAGCTGCAGTATCAAGCAAATCTAGAATCCCTGATTTCCTCTAGGAGAAATAAAACCTCCAGACCACATGAAAAATCAAACATGTCTSCAGAGTGTAAAGCACATCTACAGCTAAGGTCAGATCATTCACAGCTCATCCAACTGCTGCTGGAATTTCTCCCCAGAGAGAAACAATGCAGGGTTTCGACCAAGATCTCACAGCCACCGAATCTTGARAGCTACATGTGCTACAGTTGGCACACAGACAAAGGTTACATCAAAGCATCTGCTCTCGCACAGACGAACAACCACCAGTATTTCTCTGCTTACAAAGGACTCTTTCAAAAACTCAACTCTGACAAGAGCACAAAAGCCCCATGCAAAACTCCAACACTGCACTTACACTCTACCAAAGCCAGGAGAACAAAGTAGCCAATGTCACTGCCGTGCCATTAATATATATATATATACCTTAAGGGGTTTGAAAGCTCAGTAATGATTTCTTGAAGAATCATTAGGCTGGGCAGAAAATGCAATTATTTAAATAGATAATGGAAGCAGACTTCCTTTCTSGAGGAAGTGCTCAAGACAAGTAACCAGGACAGAAAAGGTTTCCCTCAAAAAAAGGAGCATGAAAATGCTTACCCTGTAACAAAGCTGAGGMACAAAGGGAAGCACTGACATATCCAAACAGATGAAGTACAAACAAGTGACTTCACACACCYAAGACTGCAACAGAAGCAGCCTCAAAGAACGGCTGTAGCATTTTAGCATCCATTTTTTTGGTGACCTACATACCTCTAGATGACATTTGAAATATATCAATGGTTTCTTGCCAACTAATTACCATTTGCCATTCCAAAAARGTCTTCGTTTTTGGAATGGCATCATGGGCTAAAGGATGACGTAAGTCTCTCTTGCTCATTAATTCCAAATTAGAATTTTTCTCACCAGCTTTTTGCACAAAAACATGTCCTTTATCCTTTCTCCTGACACTTTCYAGTCAGTATACTCATATTAGTCCTATTAATTTGTACTACCTTTTTTGGAGCATCTGCTTATCTTTTCACTACTTACCTCCTCCACCTCTCTTTTTTTCCTTACTGCAAAAGGATGGCACTTCTCCTTCATGTTCSCTCTGCCAAGTGCCTAAATACACTTTTACTTAGTTTCTCACCATTCAAATTATTTTATTGGCTCTCAACATTTTCCTCTTTCTGCATCCCTCTTAAATGGTCTCTAATTTGTTTTATAGATACAACAGAACTCGTGGTGGGTGGGGGGAAGTGTCTCAGAAGAAACAAGCAGACAAGCCTAAATTAAGGTTCCATGGCAATGGAAGAACATACCAGTTTTGTATATCCTGGATTTGTGCTTTTTTAATTGTTGTTGGTTGGTTTTGGGGACTGGGGGCAGGGCTACACAGAAGAAGGGGGTTAAGATTAATACTCTGGAAGGCTATCTGCCAATTTACCTTTGTTTTGAGTGAGGAGCTTGGGTATAATTTATCTTTGTTTAATGCATCCACTGCATCTTTTCAATGATTTCAACTGCTACARAACAGAATACCTGCACTCTGACCCTTCCGCTAATTCTGAATTTGACCTGAAGTGGTCAGGTAGTTGGACTGCTTGATTGTTCCAAGTCCCTTCCAACTGAAATAGTCTATCCTATTTTCCTCTCTGCCCATCACAATCTGAATACCCTTAAAAAAAAACAAAAAAAAAAACAAAGCCAAGCAAACGCCACACAATACAACATCATCAGGAGATTCAGTCTGAGGTACTGAAAGAAGAAGCAGCCTGAAGGTAATGGTTACTTTTTCTTGAGGGAAGACAAGAAAGGAAGACGATTTATACACTTACTCAAAACCAGCTTCTAGGATGACTTCATTTAAGAAATGGACAAGTCACTGCAAAATAGGTCAAGATCCGAACACACTGCATTTAGCTGCTGTTACCACACTGCCTGTGTTAGACAAGAAGCAGTTGAGCTGCAAGGAGAGCTGCTTTCCATTTACCACCCAGGAAGTTTCAACAGAGCTGCTGAGAAGCTGCAAGATCACATCCCTGTTTCACCTTGCAGCAGCTGATAGTTATGYTGGTGTATTTAGACACCACATCTCACTTTTCCAAATTAAGAGCAAGGATAATTGATCTTCCTTACTTCACAGAAATGTTTAGGAATGAGTACGTCAGAGACAGCGAGAGAAGCAGATGCTACAGGTTGTATAAATATGACATTGATCAATAAAACTGACATTTAAGGGAGAGGGGAGGGAGATGAAAGGCCCTCTAAATTCCCTAAAAACAGCTCTTAGCCCACATTATCCCAGTGTCCTGATCCTCTGCCACACTGCAATTCTGATTCCTCTGACAGGGTTTCACCACCACTCAACACTGCCTCTGTAAAGGTCATTCTTCCAAATTACACTCTCCTACACTGAATATTTCTGCAGGAACACATCCTGCTCCTTCCCTGATCAACACCCTGGTCTGTTCCTGGCTCTCTGTGCTCCTCAGCCTGAAGATGAGCCATGAAGAAGAGGGTACACCTCGGGCTTACGAGAAGTGTCTGCATGAGTAAGAAACAGAGGAAAACAAAGAGCAAAATAAATGCTGGATTTCCTCATCTGGATCTCACAAAGACACTTCTAGGCACCCACTGCAAAAAACCCACAACAACAAAAGACACAACCAACCAAAACAGAACAAAATAGAGGCATGAAGGGCTTCTTCAGCCAAATGCAACAATYCCAGAACAGGAAACTGGCACAATAATAAATACAGCCCAGGAGGGTGACCCCAACAATCTGCCAGGGTCCTAGCACAGAAGAGCTTTTATGCAACAAGAGCATATAACCCATATGAATGTACACTTCACGGATATTCCAGGGCATATGTGAGGGAAAAAGAAATAAAACCAACAAACAAACAAAAAAMCCAACAAAACATGAGGTTATCAGATTGCTATCATGCTTTACCCTGATCATCCATTTCTYATCATCATTTCCCCTGATCATCATTTCCCATTTCTTCTAATTCCCCATTCKCTGTAGTTCCTCCTATTTGTTCTTTTCGTGCTCTCTTCTGAGCAATCCAGGACASTTACACTTCTCCCCTCCTCTCAGCCTACCTTCATCTTGTATGTCTGAACCACATGCAATTTTTATAAGCTGGGAACATTTCCCTGCAGAGAAAYGAATAAGATACGTCACAGAATAAGGACATTTCCTGCACATTTTGTATCTGCTAGAGGGGAAAAAAACATGAAAATTCACATTAACTAACTCTACTTAAGGGAAAGCTTCACATAAAATTATTAACAAAAGCACTCAGTCATTTGTTTTTGAGATATCCACTTGATGTAAAAGCTTATTCTTAARAAATCAGTTTGATCTCCAGCATCAAGACAATTTCTGCCTCTCCAATAATGAACCTGTGAATACGGTTTTGCCAATAAATTGTCAATTTGCCGCCGCAATTGACACAACCAGCCGCCTAAAACCCCTCACGCTGTCGACTTGTTTCGATTTGTTTCAGTTTCTTTCCTCACGAGAYTCAGCACATGCCATTCTTGAGATCCAAAATGTGAAGTTACATACCTCATGCTCTCATTACCATGAAGGGTAAACGCAGATAAAATGAGACACTGATACATCATGAAAACACCCTGAGCCAGAACCCAGAAAAAAAGGAAAAGGAAAAATGTAAGAACTAGTTGATTTCATAAAAACACTGCAGAAAAGAGGAAAAACAAAAGCAGAATCTCGTTCCTGTTTGAAGTATTCACTGCATGGTGTTCAGCTCTCTTACACGACAAACTTTGAATATAAGTTAAACAGGAATAAGGATTCTTTCAGCACTGTCCTTCAAGACACGTTGCTAAGTCTTGACTGCAACAGAAACGATGCTTTGCCACAATAAACTTGAGAGTTAAAACAGTTCTCTCCAGAGATGTATTTTGTTACAGTTTAACAGGGAAGTTTTGTAATAATGCGCTGGTTTGGGCTGGGGTGAAGTTAATTTTCTCCATAGAAAATTGTGCTCTATCTTGGATACGTATTCGAAACAGTGTTGATAATACAGAGGTTTTCCTTAGTGCTGAGCAAGAATCGAGGCTTTCCCTTTTAGTCCTGTTGACAAAACAGTGACCCCAACTGAACTAAAGGCTCAGACCCTATGAAATCATGCTCAGCATATAAAGCAGGGGAAGAAGAAGGAAGAGCAGGATATTCCTCACTTGTTCCCTTTTGATTCCCTCCCCCATCAGCCTGGGCAGGAGTCAGTGAGTGACTGTACAGTCCTTGGTTGCAGGAGAGGGTTAAACCACAACAAATTTAGCAGGCACCGTCTCTATCAACAGATTTAACGGATGGAGAAATGGAAAGAGCAAATGCTGCCTCATTAACTTATCCCAGTGATAAGCGAGTTCATTTTAACAAATCTCAGATCAGGTGTTCCAAATATCAGGCTCTGGCATTAAATCAATGTTTTCTTGATTTGCCTTGTTCAAGTAAGAAACAGAGCCATCAAGGAGAAAAATGGTTATAATCAGATGGACAATTAGATAAGGAATCAAACAGCAGACAGGAAAGTCTCCTTAGCCCAAATTTATGGGTCAAGGACTACCTTGATACTTAGAYGCAAATTCATGAAGAAAAAGTATGTAGCAAAGAAAGGTGAACCATCGTGCTTATTAGAGCAGCGCTCGTGGGGGAGGAAGAAAGTAGAATTAGAAATTAATTTGAAAAGGAGGCACTGGTTTAAGATCAGCCTTATCGCCGTGTGGTGCCAGACACAAAGGTAGAACGGAGGATGGGAGAAACCCTCGGCCGCGCTTTCAGCCCCCGCCGCCACCCCCCTCGCTCGCTGTTTCTATAGTTACGCTCAGCAACAGGGCCGGCACAAAACTTGCAATGGCGATACCCCAAAAGGCAGCGGTTTTACAGCGGCAATCCATGAGCTCCAAAATCCACACGCCTCGCACCATCCATCCCTCAGGCTGCGGGCTCAGCCCGTGCCCGAGGGCGCTGAGGAACAAGCGCACGCCTGCGGCGAGGAGAAGGGAGCGAGGAGCGGAGCGGAGCACAGACCCGGCCTGGAGCCCCCGCCATTCCCACCCCGCCGGAAGCGCCTCCATGCCTGGGAAGCGGGCCCCGACCCCGGGGAGGCCTCGAGAAGCCCCCTGCCCGAGCACGGCCCCCCCGCCCGGGGAGCAGCGGCGGGGGCGGTCGCGGCCTCGCCCGCGGGAGGGGAGGGGCGGGGCGGGGCGGGACGGGCCCCCTCCCCCCGCCGGCAGCCTGAGGGGAGTCGCCCCCCGCCCGCCGGTCCCGCGTCCCTCACCCCGCCCGAGAAGCCGCCGCCGCCGCCGCGCGACGCGGGGGGTTTGTCCCGCCGGCCCTCGCCGTCCTCCGCGCCGCTGTACTCGATCTCGCCTTCCTCGGCAGCGGCACTAGGCTTCAGCCGCTTGGCCTGGCTCTCGTAGGCGCCGTCCTCCTCCTCCTCCTCCTCCTCTTCCTCGTACCGCTCTCCGGACGACGGCGACGACATGTCCGTGGGAAGGAAGGGGCAGCCGGCGAGGGAGGCGACACGGGAGCGGGGACAGAGCCGGCGACAGCAGCGAGCCCGAGCGATGCTCTGCGCCCCGGCCCCCGCACACGGCCCGCCCCGCGCAGCCACCCGGCCCCTCCTTCCAGCCCGCCGCCGGCGTCGCGATTGGCTCTGACTCGAGGAGGGAACGGGAGCGCCGCGGCGATTGGTCAGCAAGCCTGTCCATCAGACAACAGCGCGGTTCGATTGGACGGAGAGTCTGTCCGTCACCGCGGTGTGGGGCAGCCCCGGCCCCGCCCCCCCGTGGCGGTGCCTGAGGGCTCGGTCGGGGGGTGGCGGTGGCAGACGCGTTGAGGGTCCCTGAGTGTCCCTGTGTCCCTGACCTGGGCGCTTTTTCCCTGCGGATCACCGCCTCCGACCGTCCCCGCCGCCTTTGTCTCCTTCCCAGAGCCACCGGCTGATGGGGCGGCGGGGAACGCGGACCCCGGCGCTGCGGGGCCGCCAGGAGTGGCGCGGCCGGTGTGTCCCGGCTGCCAGTGAGGGCCACAGCAGCCGTGAGTTGCCAAGGTCACAGAGGCCTTGGTGAGGAATGAGACCGCTTCTCACCGCCCACACCTGGTCCCTGGCAAGAAGTTGGTGCTGGTTCACKTGAGCCGATGGAGTCCCACTGGGTGGGAAACAGCAGCTCCCTTATTGTGGTCCCTGCGATCTCAATGTCCTGGAAACCTGCCTGGACAGCTGGCACTGTACTGCATGTAGGTCTGCTTGCTGGGGCTGCTCAGGTTCCTTCTTGAGGGCGATGTTGATGAAGATGGCTATAGGAACCAACCCTTGAACAGCCCAGGCTGGACAGGAGCTGGAAAGATCATTGATCCAACTTTTCTGGGAGGGAGCCTGGATGAGTTTATCTAGCATCCTGTTTAGTGGCAATTTGAAAGCCTCCCTAGAGACAGGGACTCTACCATTACATCCCTGTGTTTCAGTCATTGTTGTTCTTACAGTAAGAAAATTCATGTTGTGCCTTGCCTTCTCCATGTGGGCCTTTGTGAGGAGAGCCTCCATTCTCTTTGTAGCACTCTGGTGTATTGAGATTAATCCCCTGCCTCCAAGCCTTCTTTCCTCCAGAGAGGTAAGATATAACTCCTTCAGTCTTTCCTCACAGGTCCTCACCACCCAGTTTGGCGGTGTCACAACTTGGGTGAAGATGCTTTCAATTCCATCGCCCAAATTTTTGTGCAGATGGACAGCATGGAGCCTAGTGTTGACCTCAGGGAGACCCCACTTGTGACAGGCTGCTAACCTGAGTCAAAAACATTGATCACAACCCTCTGAGTGCAGTTAATTTTCTACCCATCTTGCAAACCACCTATCCAGTCTGTGTCTTGCCAGTTAGTCCAGGAGGAGRCTTCTTCACTGGTAAGAAGACTTCCACTTTTATAAGTGGCTTACAGGACTTTCCAGCTAAATTAGTTTCTGTGGCTGGCAAACCCAGAGGGATGTAGAGTAGAACCTTGCTGGAGGCAGATCAATGGAAAATGGGTATAGGATTGCTTTTTCCATTGAGCAGCCAAATAAGAGGCAGGGAAATAATTCAGAAAACAGCTAAAATAAATATTATTCTCTTCTTTTGGTGTGTGTGTGTGTGGGGAAAACTCAACCCCCCACTCTTGTATCAGATAAAATGTTGTTCATTCTGAAATGGTARGCTTTGTAAGCTAGAAAGGAAAACAAAGTGTGCTATTTACTCACTTTCTTTATCCTGAAAAATAGTAGTAAGGCACTCCTCCAAGAAGTTGGAGGAGGTTCAGTTTCCCATTCTGCCTGGCATGATCTGAATTTGCATCTCTCAGATACCACATCTCATCATCTTGTCTGCAAGCACGTTCATCTGATTTAACTTAACTTGCTGTGTTTCTCACCTTCTTGTTTTCCCTTTGGTCTTTGTTTCTTAGTTTATGTTTTCCTTTCAGTATTTTACACTTGTACCTATTTTTATTTTTAACACAAAAAAAAACCCTTGCAACTCTGAGAGCACACAGCCCACAGGGCTGAAGCTGTGTATGCATCTCTTGTGGTTGAAACAGTCAATGAAGAGCATGCCATCTGTGAACATGAAGCTTTCTTTTCTTGGCACTTTTTTCCAAATACACCACTGAAATTTCTGCTGTGGACATAAATGTGGCTTATRTGCCAGATGACGTTTCTAGTAAATTAGTTTTGTGTGATAGAGTTCTGGGATTTTAGCAGACATTTCCACCATAGCATTGCAAAAAATAACAGCCTGAGAAATCACAGAATGTACCAGAGTCAGAAAATGGCACTGAGACGCTGCAATAATCAGATTTTCTTTAATAATTAAATTTTCTTTCCTTCATTGTCATGATTTGAGACTGGCCAAATGCCAGGCACCCACAGCAGCCACTCACTCGCTCTCTCCTGCCACAGTTGGGCAGAGCAGAGGAAAAAAAAAATAAACTGAGGGGTCTTGAGTTGACATAAGGACTYGGAGAAAAAAAAATCCAAGGGCAAAACCTCTGTGGCACCCCCCCACTACCCAAAACCAGGCCRAGCAAAACCAATACATCCATGTTTTTAGAATCACTWTTCTGAAAATGAGGAAATGACATACTGTTTGACCAAGTTCTTATTTACTGGGTGTTCCATGAAACAGAAATGTTTCAGCCTGCTTCTGTGCAGCATGTGGGCTCCAGCATCACTGGGCAGCAGACCCTGCTTTGCTGACTTARTGCAGCATTTAATTATCCCCCTGTGGAGGGGTTAAGATATTYTAAATATTTAAGTTGCAAGACTAAGGCTTCCACACTCAGCTGCTGTGACTAGCTTGGAGCAGACATTCCTTCTGCATGTGCCTCATGCACAGGAAAGAAGGGAAGGAATATGGAAATACACCCCAATTATGTAAGTTTGAAACTGAGTGTCTGACTCAGCAGAAGGATTTCACTGTCATGTCACTTGTCAGACCTGCTTTTGTATAAAAAGAGAGAAGAAAGATGCTAAAAMTGCCTTAAATAGTTCTTTTCATACAATTTTTATTACCTGGAGCTGATAAACAGAAGTCGTGGCTTCAGTCCACTACCCTCCAATAAGAATAGCAATTAGTGTTATTTGCTTACCACCATGCAGCCAAGTAAAACCACATTATTGCATAAAGGGCAGAACAATGGCATGAAAAAATTCCCCAGATCTGGTAGAAATTTAAAGCACATAATTATGCTCATAGCTTAGAAGAACATGTTGTTACTAGGACAATTTTGTCTGCTYTTCCTATTGTGCCTTGTCTTTCTYACATCCTTTACTGTAATTTAAATTRCATTAAGCTATTMGTTCACTGTAGCAAGGAAWGTCTCTTAGAATGCTAAAACATCACACTTRCAGGGTTTTTGTTCCTTCTTTGGAATTTAGTCTCAGCAGTTTAAGGAAGCAGTGCTCTGATCACCCTTCTATTGGAAGGTAWCACCACCTCAGTTGCTGAGAGGTGGTGAAAAAAACAGCATACCTCGACAAACTAAACTAGAATTTTTTTTTCTCAGCTTTTATTTTTTATTATTTTCTTTTCAATTTGTCTGTGCTCTCCTCTGGGTTGGACAGCACTTACTGCTCCTTTCTACTCTGCATCAGACTCCAAATAACTCTTAAGTTTAATTCTCTAAGTAAACCTGTCTATTGAGTACTTCTGGGGAAAAAAAAGAACAAAACAAAACAAAAATTTAACACCTTTTATTGCAACTGAAAACCATAATTTTTAATGCTCCCGTGCCAGGGGTAACCCAACTGCAGTCAGTTCAAGCATACAATCCATAAAATCCTAAAACCAGGACTGAGAGCCAAATAAAATTGCATTATCTGTTAAATCAGGTCATAAGCATTCCAAATGGTCCCTAAGAAAGTATACAGCCAGAATGGATCTGGCCAAAAGCTGTCTGCYTATCACTGCTTTACCCCTGCAGCAGAATACAGCAGCTGCTCACCTCACATGGCAGTGCTGCACTTCCCTGAGGCACTGAAAAATACTCAAAAGAAAACAAGTCAGCTTTACCAGCGGAAGAGCTGAGGAGCTGCCCTGGGCACAGCTCGGGCTCCCTGAACGGGAGGAAAGCAAAGCCWGAGCACCTCTTTGCTACCTGGGCACAGCCTGCTCAGACACCCAGTGAGACTGAGGCCCCATGAGAAAATAAATCAATGGCTGTAAAACAGAAGTCCTCATCACAACAAGTGAGGCATGAGGGGGCAAAATCAGCCTGCATTTGTAGCTTTCATCTCTGCATTTTCCATTATGTATATTTTTGACTTTGCATGCTTTGTTCTTTTTCTTTGTTATATACAGCATGTGTGATTACCCTCTGTTAAAAGGATAAAAAGGCAACCTGACAGGTTATCCTGTGGGATTTTTCAGATTTGAATACAGCAGAGATATAGCAGCAGACAAGGGCCACTACACTCATTTGCACTAGTGCAGCCACAGCAATGATAAATGTCCCAGTGTCACAGCTTGTACCCAGGTACRGGGCCCCTCAGTGGGTGGTGATTGTTTTTGTTACCTTTATGGTTTCTTTGGTTACCAGCATTCCTGCTYGGATGGACAGTGTAACCAGACAGTCTAGTCAGTACTTCCTCTCTCTGGTTCATACCACTTTTCTCTGCATAAATACTAGRCACCATTTGTTGCTCAAGACACTGCAATGGCACTTTCACATCCCCATCCAGGGATGGCTTTGCTTMTTTGGAGCTGTAACATAAAATCACTGCAGTTCCAAAATTCTTCCTTTTGCAGGCAAGTTGCTGAATTTTCGKCATATTCAGAAGAGATGGATGCCTCCAGTGGATCAGTGGATGGATGTGCTACATACACTGTGCCCTGTGCAAGGTCAAGTGCTCTGAATGAAACCCAGRYAGCCTCCTTGTCCTGCCTGGCTCARGAAATGTGGACACAGAACCACGAGGAGTGAGCAGGACATTGGGGCATGCCGACAGAAAAAAGGAATGACCAACATAGCGTGCAAGRGTAAGAGACCCTGGCTACCTGTCAGTGTAATGCTCTCAGGACTGCTCACACAAAATAATCCTGGGGCAGCTTGTCCTGCTGAGGAGG